GAGTTGGGCACATGGCCGTATTAAATAATGGGAAGGCGTTCGGTCTCTAGCAGGAATATTGTCAGGGGTTAGGGCCCATGTTTTCAGCTGCCTAACTCAGCATGTTCTCTCAGCCTAGTCTATGACTTCTCTGGGAAGGAGGGAGAGAGGATTATCCTTTGCTGCTCATGACATTAATGCATGGCTCATGTTGAGATTAACGTAGTTCACACCAGAAAGTGCAAATAAGACTCCAGGCCAAACACACGAACGTGGCAAGATGGTCCCATTGCTGTCAACACTTCAGGGATGTCAGCTTCCTCAGGGGTGAGCTTTGGAGTTTCTTGAGGAAGAGTCTGAAACAAGGTGATCTCCAGAGGGAGGCGGTCAAAAGATTCTACATTTGTAAAGCACAGGCTGCTCATTATGATACCCACAGTGCCAGCTCTACTTGGACTCCTCTTAAGTTAAGCTCTTTGTCCTTTGCCGAGGCACAACTGGTCAGGGGAGGGGCCGGTGGAATATGGTCTGTTAGCCTTAGTGTCAGCAGGGACGGGATCTGGAGATTTCTCTTCCTATGCGACAGCATTCAGTTACTCTAATTTTTGTTTTCCTTGCTCCTATCACTTCCACATTCACAACCCAAGGAGGCTTCTCAGGGAATAAAATCCCTCGGTTGATATTTTACTAATGAATGCATGGTTACAGAAGCCAAAGAAGGGTCTTGAAAGAGGTCCACAGAAAAAAGAATCGGGTAAAATGAGCCTTGTGGTGGTTTTTCTTTTCTTCTCTTTTCTTTCTTTTCTTCTTTCTTCCCTTTCTTCTTCCTTCCTCTCTTTCTTTGAATGTTTCTTGTGTTAGGGTTTGTCGTTTCTGGATTGCAGATTTCTTTCCATTCCTCTGTGTCCTCTCTTTCAGCATCTTCAATTTTATGTGTTAGGCACTTGAAATAGCACTTCAAATTTAAGTTCACAGATACCTTTTTATGTTATTTCTTTATTTTTTTCTAGATTTTCACATTGTAACATTTCCTTTGCTATGACTTTGAGGGCACTAGTCTTTTATTCTCCAATCTGTAGTCAATTCCATATAGTGTAAGTTCCTTTGATTTTGTTTGTTTCATTATATCTCCTACTTCGTGGTTGAGACATTCTTTATCTCCACTCATTTCAAGAGGTTTTCCCCTTATGTCTTTCATCAGCTTTTAAGTAGCTGTTTTAAAGTGTTTGAGGAAAAAAATTCCAGCATCCCTATTATATTGAGGTTAACATGTGGTAAATGTCTTTTCTAATCCGGTGGGATTTTCTTTCTTGTTCATGTGTAATTTTGAATTCTATCCTAGATATATCCAATGTTATGTTATGAAACAATGTGTCTTGTTTAAAATGTTGATTTTCTTTTTTAGCAGATTTTCTGCCTGGTTGGGTTCAGGCTGCCTGTTTCAAATAGCATTTACCTGCTTCTTCAAAAGCTTCCTCACTCATTGGAACTTTAGTTTTACTCTCCTTCATCACTTGGACGCCACGGCCAACTGAGAATTCAACAGATACCTCGGGCTGGTGTTCCTGCAGCCTTGGGGTTGGGCGTGGACGAGCCTACATCAGGTAACACGTGTGTTGAATTCCTCACTTGTTTTTTCTTCTCTATAGTCCTGTTACCAATATCCTGGTTTCCTCACATATTGAATTCTTCCAACACAGTTCTGGTGGTGGTTCACGGAGGAACGCGCCAAGGCATGGGCTCCTTCACTTTTACTCCAGCACCTTAAACAGCTACTGCTCAGGGGTGTATTCTCCCTCCTCTCTGTTCCCACAGGCTCCTGGGATGGGTCGGGGAGCAGCTCTTGCTCCTGCAGAAGGAGGTCACCTGAGATGCTAAAATGATGATTCCATGATCCGGCACTCACGCCGGGCGGAGGTAGGAGTAGCTTTAAGACCTTAGGTTGTATTGTGAGTGGTGGAGGAAGAGAGGGTGGGAGGGCGAGAGAGAGAGAAATGTTTTCGCAGACTTCTCAGAAAATAAACTTCTGTTGTTGACATTTTTACTAGCAACTGAATAGTCACTGAAGCTTAAAGAAGTCTCTAGTAAGGTTTCTAGACAACAAGAAGGGGTCCTGATGGTCCTTGCTTTGTTTTTTCATGGTCCTTGCCCTTGGGCTTTGTTGAGCTTTTTGAATCTATGTGTCCATAATTTTTTTTAACCTTGAATGTTTTTGGCCATGAAATGTTCTTCTGCTATTTCCTCAACTTTGGAGTCTCCACGTACATGTTTAATAATTCTCTTGTTATCTCACAACTCACCGATAATTCTTTAATTTTAAAAATGCGTGTTTTATTTTGAATAATTTCTGTTAAAAAGCTGTGCTCTCATAGTTAGAGAAGATTATCTGCAATGGAAAAATGCCATTCATACCATCTAGTGTAATTATCACATTTAATAGTTTCATTTGTTGTCTTTATTATCTTCTTTGTTTTTTACTGACACTTTTTATCTTTCTTTCATTTCAAGAGGGTTTTCTATAGTTAAGTCCTTTTTGTAATAACAGCTTTGTTTTCAGTCTTCTCTCAGGTAAATCCAACATCTGAGTCATTACTGGATTATCATTGATTAATTGTCTTTTCTACAATTGAGGTTATTCTGTTATTCATATGTCTAGAAATGTAGGATTCTCTTCCAGATCTATCTTATATTATGATGTGAAACAGTGGATCTTGTTAAAATGTTTTGTTGACACTTTTATTTTAGAAAATAATCTGCCATTTGGGTTTGGCTAACAAGTTCCGTCCAGCCATCTGCGAATTGGTGTTTAAATGCCAGTTCACTTTTAAATCATGGCAGCACTATATGGATCTACAACCAATGTCACCACAAAGTGGCCCGCGTGGGAACTAGGCAGTGGGCTACCTCTTAATTCTGTTCTGAAATCTGTCCTTGCTCTTGGGGTCCAGTCCATCCAAGCACATTTCAGAAGTGGGCCCAGAAGTTCAGGACCAATTTAGAAGGTTGTTTCCTCAAGGTTTTTCTTACCACTTTCTCCTCAACCCCCCGATCCGGCTCTTAGCTCATCCTACCCTTAACTAAGGCCTCACCCCTCTTGCGCTCTTGAACACATCTGTCACTTGTTCTGTACAGTGACGCCAAAATAGTTTCCTCAGAATATGAAGACTCCATAAAACATTGTCCCATTTCCTGAATGGACGTTTCTGTTTCCATTCTGGGTAGAATATGTCAGCCCTGGTTGGAATCAATACCCCAAACCCATCTTTTCCTAGAAAAGCCTAGCATCTCCGTGTGGATGGAAGAGATGTTACCTCAGGAAGGGCCCGAGCTCTGGGATGAATTGTTTCTATGTGTGGGGATGAAAGTGTCTGATCCTCATTTCAGGGACCTGTGGTCAGCGAGGGACAGACGGACCCTCCCGGAGCACAGGTCCCCGAAATGGGGCCCCGGAGCAATCCTGATGCCATTCTCCTTTTCAAAAATCCTCAAACACTGGAATTCCACTCTTGCTGTGTATTAGATGATTTTCCATCTTAGTGAACTTACTCTTCTCCTTTTTGGAATATTTCTTCCTCACTTTGAGAAGGCAATCAGTCTGTCTTCTCTTCATCTAGCCTTCCTACCGGGGTTGGTACTATTTCATGTCGGATGTTTCCTCAGCCCTGAGAGCTGTGTGACACCGTCACTGAGACAAGCACCATGGTCCTGAGGGGGTAGGTCTGGACCACCAGGTGTGGCAGCTACCACACTTCATTCTGGGAGAAGCTGGTGACAAAGTGAGAGGATCATAAAGAGGACTAGAAGTGCTAAAGAGCAACACCAAACCAAGGAAATTTGAAGGCCTAAATAGCTTTATTACATGATTCATAAACTGAGCAGTATCCTATCTAGCAGCTGGAAGGGCTTTCTAAGGAGTGGACAAAGTAGAAATTTTTTATAGGCAGAAAGAGCGTGGGACTAAGAAGTTAAAAGAGAGTAGATTATTTCAGACAAGGGCATGCTCTCCTAGGGGAAGGTAGGAGTCTCATCAGGCAGGTGACCTGACTAGGGCTGGCCAGGGTTCCCAGACCACTTGGTTTAAAATTCCATCCCTGGGCAGCTGACACTGCAATAAAGTCAGGCATTAAGTGTTGGTTCGGTGATGCAATTTAGCAAAAGGGACTCCATTTTGGCCAGTTATTTCTCTTTTTAACAGACAGAATCAAGAGGCCTGGTGCTGAGCTGAGATGAGAAAGAGGGAGCCAGGAGGTGAGCTGAGCAGGGGTTTTCAGCTGCCTTAAGGGTTTGCTAACTTGAAGTTTGTCACCCCAATGTTAGCCACCAGGTGGCAGCAAAAGACTGGATTTTGTGGAGGTCTTTGCCCGGCTTTACCCTGGTTTCTGTGAGGTGGGAAGATCTGGTTCCAGCTGAGGTCCTCCAGAGGGAGACTTTGGAAGGAGTGTCCCCAGTCTGTACTGCTTCAAAATGCTTTGCAAGACAGGGCCATAAATGACCCCAGGTCTCAGCCTGAGAGCAGTGCAGAGACAGGGAACAGACACGATGGGGAACCAGGCTACTGAGGACAGGAAGCAGGCGAGGGGTGTGAACAACCACCAGCTCTGTCTTTGGTGCCAGAGAAGAAAACCGATTAGATTTCTTCCAATCCCAGCCCTTCTGAACCCGGCCCTCACCCTTCAACCATGCAGAACAAAAAGAAAATACTGGGATGACGAGTGTACTTAGCCAGGCGACCACATCGTGAAACCGACAGTTGGAAGGATGGGGACCTTTTAAGACTGACAGCATTTCCTAGGCACTGTCCTGGGCTCAGTCTTAGAAAATCCATGTCAGAGACCTAACGCCTCAGATTGGCCCTGCCCTCCAGGGATGCAAAATATCTAGAATCAAGGATCAAGTCAGAGTGGGCTGAGGAGAGAGGCAGCAGAGGCAGATTTGCATGGAGGCCCCTCCCTCCCCTGAGGCAGGAAGAGGGGATAAGAGAGGTCTGGGGGAGCCAGGCTCAGGCTTGGGGTCTCAGGTTGCAGCTCTCCTGGGGGATCTCCACCATGGCCTGGGCTCTGCTCCTCCTCACCCTCCTCACTCAGGGCTCCGGTGAGGCCTCCAGGGAAGGGACCATGGGGACGTCTGGGCTGATTCTCTGTGTCCTCCTCAGGCTCATATGGGCCCAGCACTGAACTCAGCACTGAGTATGTTTTTGCTCTTTTCAGGTTCCTGGGCCCAGGCTCCGCTGACTCAGCCGCCCTCAGTGTCTGGGACTCCTGGCCAGTCGGTCACCATCACCTGTGCTGGAAGCAGCAATGATGTTGGTAGTTATAATGATGTCTCTTGGTACCAACAACAAGCTGGAATGGCCCCCAAACTCCTGATTTATGATGTCAGCAGTCGGCCCTCGGGGATCCCTGACCGCTTCTCTGGCAGCAAGTCCGGCAACACGGCCTCCCTGACCATCTCTGGGCTCCAGCCTGAGGACGAGGCGGATTATTACTGTACTTCGTATAGCAGCAGTAGCACTAGACACAGTGGTGCAAGTTCATGGGGAAGTGAGACCAAAACCTGCCCTGTGCTCACGGGCTCCCTCCTTGCTCTGAGGCTGCTCCCTCAGCCCTGTGCAGGGGGCTCATGCAGCATGGCCTGGACAATTCCTATTCTACCTGTTTCTGTGTCCTAACCCAAAGCTAAGAGAAAGCAGTTTGTTTGTTTGTTTTTTTTCAGGTGTTCTCCTCCCTCACTTGAAATCCAAAAGGAACCTCTTTCTCTGGTTTATTGTCTTTGCATGTGTTCTGTGGACCCAGAAGGCCAATCATTCCAAACCCTTAATTGTAACAGCCATAGGGAGCCCCATGCTCAGCTTGTTGGGTAGATTACCCAGAGTCCTCCAGGAAATCCTCACTTGAAATGCCTTGGTCTCCCACACCTGTGCAGACTGGCATGAGGCCAGTTTTCAACTAATGACGTGGGAATGAAAACAAAGTAGTTTTTTTCTCTCTCCCTTCCTTCCTCTCTCCTTCCCTTCCTTCTTTCTTCCTTCCTTCTTTTTTTCCTTTCCTTTTTCTTTCATTTTTCCTTTCTGAGCTCCTAACATTTCCCATAACCAAGGAAGTTCTGAGGTGGGAATTCGAGTGAAAGATTCTGCCTCTCTCAGAGTTGCCCCTCTTCTCCGACTTCTCAGTGATTCTACAGGAAGCAGCCCTGCACATGAACTGTTTTCCTGTTACGATGGGATCTTTCCAAATGCCTACTTGGTTCTTCAAGATATATCTTGGATGTGGCCCTCATTCCTAAGGGATCCCCAAGACATGCGATTTTCAGGGTGATACAACTCACTTCTAGCTGTAATCCCTGTTACAATGAATCATAAAGTACAAACACACATAATTCTCAGGCCAAGAGTTTTTTGACCGTTGCCTGAAGCTGGGCTTAGGTGCCAGAGGAGGTGGCGCAGTGACCTCGTCATCCCAGGTTGTAAGACCTTTCCCAGCTTCAGCCCTGAAATCTCCAGGTCTTGAAAATGACCTCGCTCCTCGTCAAATCAGGGTGGGTGATCATCCTACCTGGAAGTAACGTCTTGGTCATGATGTTCTCCATTTAATTCACTTGTCCACATTTTCCCAGGTACTTCTTTCTTCCTCTGTAAAGAGTCAGTGCCTTCATGCTTTAATTGTCCAGGCTGTAACAGTGACACACATGGACCTCTCCCCAGCTGGGTCACAGCGCAGTGGGAAGGGGTCTCTGCTACTGGAGACCCAGGAGAAGGTCTAGAGTCACAGCCCTGAGTCTGTGGAATGCTGGTCACAGGGTGAGCCTGCCTGCAGGCCGCGGGTGTGATATCGCTCCTGTGTTAACACCAGCAGAGGGCAGAGTGACGACTGCTCTGGTGATCCTTTCCGGCATCCGATGTATGTCCTGCACCCTGACTATAATAGCAAAACCAGTATTTTGTAAGGTGTTTTGATGTGATAGGAAGGGAGGCGCCCCTGTAACCTCTTCCAGTGATTCTCCTTTAACCTGGGACCACAATTTCCTTTTGAGAAGGCGTCACTATTTTTTAACAGGCACTCTTACAAAGAAAGCCATTAGCTAGATGTTGAGTGAACAGCATCTCACATGACAGTTTGTAGGAAACAGCACCCTTTGTTATTTGTGTATGTGGAGTCTCCAATTGTGGGAACAGTGCCCTGCATTTTCTCATATAATGCAACAGAATACTGGCTTAAGTCTTTTTTCAGATGCAGAGGGGAGGGTCATTTTTGATGGAAGATATTAGACATGTTCTCCATCAGTGCAACGAATATATCCAGCCATGTGTTTCTGTCAGATACACTCAGGGACGCAGGCCACAGCGCGATGACCTTTCACGGGTCCCACAATGTCCATGTCAGGCACCACACTTTTTATCCTGTACCTCTTCTGGATATTTAATCTTTTTTTCTTAACTGCAAATTTTCTTTTCTCCTCACCCAAAGACTTTTTTTTTTTCATTGATTTTAGAGAGAGACAAAGAGAGAGTAGAAAAATCGATGACCGAGAGAAGCATCGATGGTTGCTTCCTGTGCAAGCCCCGCCTGGGGACAGTGCCTGCCAGGCCTGGGGATTGATCCTGCAACCGAGGCCTCGGCCCTGACCCAGAATCGAAACCTTCACTCCTTCTGTTATGGGATGAGTCTTCAATCAACTGAGCCATGTTGGCCAGGGCTTAATTGCAATTTCTGAAGGAATCATCACGTTCATTTTGACCTGACTATGGGCTTGGGAATAAATATTTGTGTATTTTGATTCATTTGCTTGGCTTCATAGATTATTACTCAGAGTTACAAGTGTTTATTTTGCCCACTTGGGTGGCTGTCATGCCCAGTAGTTCTATGCCATGCCTTGTCCTGTGGGCACACATATAGAGAAGGACGTTAAATGGGAATGGGGACTCCTGTAGCGTGGGGGCTCTGAGTTATTCCTGGACTAAGAGAACAAGGACTGAGGACAAGGTGGGACCAGGTGAGGATCAGAGGTTTGCTTCTTGCTATAGTATGTGGATAACAGGAATGTAGAAAGTAGCCACCAGGGGGCGGTATTGTCTAAATTTGGAGAAGTCAGACTGGGTTACCAAGAGGTGTGGGAAGTCTTACCTGGAGATTCCAATGAGCAGATGTTTGAGGAAGAGGATGTCCTGTATGTTGTGTCCCAGTATTTTTACTGCTACAAGAGGCAAAAATGTCCATGAACCTAGACAATGTAGAGTTAGGGGCAAGACATACATGAGAATTCATTTCAACTGAGGAGCTTCAAAAAAAGGTTGAAAAAGAATGAGAAATGCCAGCTTTGCCTGTGTCCCTTCGGTAATGGAGTCCTTGGATCTTTTCTAGCCAACCTCAGATGCTGTCCTCACCCTCCCCACTGCTGTCTCGGACGAGGTGTCCCTGTATGCGTCAGCCAAGAAACAACCCTGATTCCAACAATAGGAAGGTCAGGAAAAAACAGGTGGGCTCCATTTCCTTGGCTCTCGAAAAATGGAGTCAGTGTGTCTGAGTGAGAAAATGCCATGTCATACATTTAAAATGCTTTCAGATTAGCTGTGCTGTCCAGTGTGGAGAAGCATCCTGATCAAGGGTCAGGTCAGAGTGGGGTGAGGAGAGGCAGGTGCAGGAGCAGATTTGCATGGAGGCCCCTCCCTCCCCTGGGGCAGGAAGAGGGGATAAGAGAGGTCTGGGGGAGCCAGGCTCAGGCTTGGGGTCTCAGGTTGCAGCTCTCCTGGGGGATCTCCACCATGGCCTGGGCTCTGCTGCTCCTCACCCTCCTCACTCAGTGCTCTGGTGAGGCCTCCAGGGAAGGGACCATGATGACATCTGGGCTGATTCTCTGTGTCCTCCTCAGGCTCAGGCGGGCCCAGTACTAAAGTAGGCACTGAGTGTGTTTTTGCTCTTTTCAGGTTCCTGGGCCCAGGCTCCCCTGACTCAGCCGCCCTCAGCGTCCGGGGCCCCGGGACAGTCGGTCACCATCACCTGTGCTGGAAGCAGCAATGATGTTGGTCGTTATAATGATGTCTCTTGGTACCAACAACAAGCTGGAATGGCCCCCAAACTCCTGATTTATGCTGTCAGCAGTCGGCCCTCGGGGATCCCTGACCGCTTCTCTGGCAGCAAGTCCGGCAGCACGGCCTCCTTGACCATCTCTGGGCTCCAGCCTGAGGACGAGGCGGATTATTACTGTACTTCGTATAGCAGCAGTAGCACTAGACACAGTGGTGCAAGTTCATGGGGAAGTGAGAGCCAAACCTGCCCTGTGTTCTCAGGAACCTCTCTACCTCTGAAGATGTTCCCCCAGCCCTGTACTGGGGCTCATGTAGGATGGCCTGAAGCATTCCTTGTCTACCTCTTCCTGTCGCTAACCCAAAGCTATACGAATGTAGTGTTTTTTCTTTCTTTTTCTTTTTTTCCGGGTGTTCACATCTCTCACATGAAATCTAAAAGGAAATCTCTGTGGCTTATTGTCTTTGCAATTTGTGGATTCAGAAGACCAATCATTCCAAATCCTTAATTGTATCAGTCACTGGGAACCCCACACCCTGCTTGTTGGGCAGATCACCCAGAGTCCCCTGGGAAATCCTCACTTTAAATCCCTTGGTCTCCCACACCTCTGCAGAATGACCTCGATCCAGTTTTGACCAAATGATATCAGATTGAGAACAAAGAAATTTCCTTTCCTTCCTTCCTTCTTCCCTTCCTTCCTTCCGTCCTTCCTGAGCTCTAGTATTTCCGTTACTGAGGAACTTTTAAGGTGGGAATTTGAGTGAAAGATTCTGGCTTTCTTAGAATACCCCCTCTCCTTGGATACCTGAGTGATTCTACAGGAAGCAGCCCTCCACATGAACTCTCATCCCATTACAGGAGGATTTTCCCAAATGACTGCTTGGTTCTTCAAGACATATCACGGAGGTGGCCCCCATTCCTCAGACACCCATAAAGTTTGCAATTTTCATGATGATTCAACTCCTTTCTAGCTGTAGTACAGGTTAAAATGAATTACTAAGTACAAATTCTCATTTACAAATACACAGAACTCTGCTTTAGTTCCAGGAGACCTGGTGCAGTGACATCATCATCCCTGGTTGTAAGGCCTCTCACAGCTTCAGCCGAGAAAGAGCCAGGTCTTGGAAATGACCTCGCTCCCAGTCAAATCAGAGTGTGTGGTCACAATACATGGATTTACTGCTTTGTTGTAATGTTCTCTGTTTTAGTTACTGGTTCAGATTTTTTTCACTTACTTCTTTCTTTTTCAATAAAGAGTCTGTACCTCCATGCTTTAATCATTCCAGCTGCCACAGTGACCCAGGTGGACCCCTCCCCAGCAGGGTCACGGCACAGTGGGAAGGGGTCTTTACGATTGGAGACACAGGGGAAGGTCCTGAGTCACAGCCCTGTGTGTGCAATGCTGGTCACAGGGTGAGTCTCCCCGTAGGGTGCCTGTGTGACTTTGTCCTGGTGTTGAATCCCAGTGGAAAGCAGGGTGACAACTGTTCTGATCACCCTCCATCGCATCTGATGTGCGTCCTGCTCCCTGACTACAATAACATGTCTTGTACTTTATGAGTTATTTCAAAGTGACAGGAATGCAGCGGCCCCCATTTCCTCTTCTAGTGATTCTCCTCTCAGGTGGGAGCACAGTTGCCTCTTGAGAAGGAGTCACCGTTTCATTAGAGGGACTGGTACGACGAGAGCCCACAGCTCGATGTTGAGTGAACAGGATCTCTCTGAAGCCACAAGCGCCCTCTGTTTCTTGTGTATTGAGGGTCTCCAACTGTGGAAACAGCCCCCTGCATTTTCTCAAATAATGCATCGGAATCCCTCCCTGGTAAAGTCTTTTTCTCAGATGCAAAGAGAAGGGCCGTTTTTGATGGAAGAGATAAGAGTTGTCTCTGGGTCACTACGGTCAATACATCAACCAATGTTTTTCTGTAGATACAGTCTGGGACTCAGCACCACAGGTCAATAATCTTTCATCACCTGCATAATATTTGTGTCACGTGCCACTCTTTTCACACTGTGCCTGTCTGGATAGATCATCTTTGTTCTCTTAATTGCAAGATTGTTTCAAATCTTCAAGCAATGACCTTTTTTCATTGATAGTAGACAGAAAGGAAGGGAGAGAGGAAAGAGAGAGAGAAACATCGACTGGAGAGGAAAGCCTCAACTGTTGCCTCCCGTACACGCCCAGTTTGAGGAATGAACCTGTGACCGGGCCTGTGCCCTGTGACTGGGAATCAAACTAACACGTTTGTGCTCTGGGACGATGCTCCAAACAACTGAGCCAGACCAGTCAGGGCTTACTTGCAATTTTTAAGGAATCATCATATTCATTTTGACCTGAACGTGTGGGTTTGGAAATAAATATTTGTGTTTTTAATTTATTTGCTTGGCTTTATTGATCATTAACCATAGTTCCAAGTGTTCATTTTGCCATTGAATGAAGGTGGTGCTTAGGCGCCAGAAGACCTGGTGCAGTGACCTCATCATCCCAGGTTGTAGGACCTCTTGCATCTTCATCCCAGAAAGCGCCAGGTCTTACAAATGACCTCGCTCCCACTCAAATCGGCGTGCATCGTCACAACACCTGGATTTACCTCTTTGTTGTAATGTTCTCTGTTTTACTTACTAGCTCAGTTTTTTCTGTTACTTCTTGTTTTCCCCATAAAGTGTAGGTACTTTCAGACTTTAATCGTCCAGGCTGTTACAGTGGCACACATGGACCCCTCCCCAGCTTGGTCACAG